TTTCGACTTTCAAGCTTATATTCTGGGATGAAGACTGTGCAGTATTTAGCTGCTCGTTTGAATTCCACCATGGTGGGCCACTAATAGATATATGGGATAAGGAATGAAGAGAACTTGCGTCACAATTTTTCTTTGGCAAGTTTTGAACCCGAATCGCCATCTAATTCATCAATTGTCTTGAATTTTGATGCAACACTCAGAAGATCCTTATCAACAAACAGATTCTTTCTGTCTCACTCCAAGTTTAACTACTAAAAGGGGAAAGACATAGAATGAGCTGTGAAAGTCTAAGTTATACTCAAAATATGAATGTAATCAACACGATTTCCGATCACCAAATAAAACTACCATTGCACAAGAACCAATGGAGATGGAACACTATAAACACAAGTTCAGCACACATGTCCAAGTAAATGTCAAAAGCAAAAAAACTAGTAAGGCCAAAATTTGCTAGTGTAAAGAAAACCCATGAAGCAGCAACAACCCAAACATAAAATGAACAAAAGCGACAAAACTATTCAGAACGATTATGGCCCCCATAATTGCATGAAACTCTAAGTATATCACAAGAACCAAAATCACAAGCTAGATTCTCAATGTAATAGTCGACAACTTATTAACATTTGAGTAAAACACACAGACAAGAAGAATAAAAAGAACATTGATGGGGTGTTCCTTTGCTTCAGTCATGTAATTTTCCAAATCATCAAAATTTTGAGGGAAAAAAAAACAGATGAACATATACATCAACGAAGTTAGTGGTTCAAATATGGTGATAAGAGCAACCAAGTGCACCAAACCATTTGGGGAGTGTAATTTGAACAGGAATTCACTTGGCAATCATGAAGAAGGTAATAGTTTTGATGCTTATTTCAATCAACGACTCATTCAGCTGTAGACATCAGATACATAAAACTCACGAAGGGATTACAAGAAATTAAGCATTTATGAGCGTGACCAAAAGTAGAATTCAAAAGAAAAGCATGTATTTACAAATTCTTAAACAGAAAAGAAGAAGAAACAAAAGAACATAATAGGCTTTTAGAAATCACATTCCATAATAGATATATCATATTCAAAAGAATCAGAAACCAGATTCGATAACATGTTCTAGATCTATGGAGCAACTGAAACATATTTAGACATCATCGTCGTTACATGTCAATTTTCAACAAGAAAATGAAGCAATTTGTGCAGTTATCAGGCATGCTCAGAAAGTCAACCCGGTAAAATTATAGCAGTTTTACTCTGCATGCAACTAGTTGTGAAAAACCAGATAATTTGCAAACAGTTTCGCCACTGCGACTCAAAAGATTTGACATTCTATAACTAAAAGCCTAGACTACAAATCCACCAAATAAATGATGGTTTTCGATGAATAAAATAGCAAAGCAATTACAAATTCGAATGAGTTAGAGGAAAACCCTAGGTTTTAGAGACAATAAACTGCAAGAAAAATAGACTTTTAGCTATGGAACTAATAGGACTGGCCAAAAAGAAAACCTAAGGGGCTTCAAAATGGCATGCAGCATAAATCAATACAAGAACCATAAAAGATTTGAGAGCTTGAGAGGGAATACAAACCAGTCAACAAGATAAAGAGGAAACTTTGATAAGAAAGGAAAAAAATAGTGTTTCAAAATCAGTAACTCTAATGAACAAAAAAAAATATCCTTGCAGATTAAGAATCCAAGTACCAAATCTTTGCTGAATAAAATCCAAGTTCATCCAGAAACTCTGTTGTGCCAAAGGAGAAGAAGAAGAAGAAGAAGAAGAAGAAGAAGAGCTGACCAAGAATTACCCCTTTCTAAGAGCAAGAGACAAAAGGGCAGGGTGGATACAAAGTTTATTTTGTACGGACAACAACTGTACGGACAAGGTAATGCTTCTAGGCATGTTTCATGAAGCAGTCCCGCAGCAGCTAAAAGAACCTTACATATAAAGTGAAAAACACGCCGCACACAAAAAGCCAAAAAAAGGAAAAACATAAACAACGACTGTCGGAACCACTTTACCAAGAACAACTTTCCCAACTTCTACATAGAACAGAAATAACTTCTTCATCATTATCACCAGCATCAATTCGAGGAAAAAAAACAGTAAGAAAACAAAACCACACTTATAAGGCAAATAATAAATGTATCAGGGGATATATTAAAAAAAAGAAAGAAAATAAAAAGAAAGGAGAGGAAATGAGGCAAAAGAAAAAAAAATATATATATATATATATTATATATAGTAGTAGTGATAGGGTTAAGTAAAGAAACGATAAGCTTGAATCAGATAAATAAAAAAAATTGGACCTATGGCATCCGATGAGCTAGGCATGAAGCAGAAGTAAAGAATTGTTCTGTTGGACGAACTTAGGCACGTTTCCTCTCTTGAAAGCTCTCCAACCACCCTTCTCTCTCTCTCTTTAAATTTTTTTATCACTGAAATTGAGAGTAATACTCCAATCCTTTTTTTTTTTTCTTCAATTACTTTCTAGGAAAACAAAAAAAAAAAAAAAAGCTTTAGAATTATAATTCCGCCCACCTCCCTTAAAATCCTCCCATAAAATCCATCCTTGACACAAACACAAACAGCTTTCTTCTCTACCTTTGGTTTCATTTTTTTTTTTTCATTAATGATTGTTTCCGATGTGTTTGTGGGAGCCACACTCATTCCCTTGCGTCCTTTTATGGCTTATTTTATCACAGCAAGCCGCCCTTCACGGCTGCACTGTACATATTTAGGGCAAACCTTACATAAAATTTTTTAAGTGTATTTTTTTTTAATTTACCATTAAAGTCTTTGTCATTGTTTTTATGACCTAGTCAGCATACGTTATTTAAAACATATTAAATCTTGTACCAAAAAAACATAATTATAAATTCCTAAAATTCCCATTTCTTTGTTAAAATCTTCAATTTCATCTTGCATAGGCATAACCCAAAAATAATATGAAATTTTAAACTTCCAATTTCACTTCATCATTAACATAATTATATAAAAAAATAATAAAAACAAAGGCGTAAAATATCCAATCTTTTACTCCATAATTAAATCTAGCTAAAACATAATTAGCAATCCCCATTGGTTAATTAATGCACTAACATGCATTAAAAAAAAAATTAGCTTCAATACCTTATCCTTTTATCCAGACCAAATGGAGTAAACACACCCGAAATCAACATTTTTTTTTATATTTGGTATAAGATGCTAGTTACTTTTCACCAGAAGATAGAAGAGGAATAAATATATAAAAGAGGCATTGAAACATTAAAAAAAAACCAACTTCAGATTAGAGTTTTTACAAGATATCAACTTGAAGAAATTGAAGGACTACATATTTGAAAGACTTGATTTTGATGAAACTTAATGTTTCTCTTTTACACTTGATCAAAAGCCACTTTATATATACATAACAAAATGGAAGGAAAATAATTATGCTTAAAGCATGGAGGAAAACATGGTGGAGGAAATCATGGAAAGCATTTGTCTTCATTATATATAGTTAAAAAGAGTAAAAAAGAAGTATGAATTTCTCCCCCCCCCCCCCCCAAAAAAAAAAGAACTTATTTGAACAAAAGGGAAAATACTTAAAAGTCTCCTTTAAATTGTGTCCTCATCATACTTTCTTAAAAAAAAGAAAAAATCCACATTATATTTTTGCTATTTATGTTTTTAATTCTCATGTTTTCTTATTAAATGAGATATAACATAACAAAAATAAAATAAAATGCTTAAAATCTAATATTATATTTGTTAGATCTTATGTTTGTCAAATTTGGTTAAAAAAAATACCATGCACAATCGAAAACATGAGTAGATATTAAACGAAAAATAAATCTAAAATATTTTAAGTTAAATATTTATTGATTTTTTATTATAAGAAATAATTTCATAAGATGATAGTTCGATTTTCAATACTTTTATATATATATATATATATATATATATTTTTTGTTCTCAAAGCTTCGACTTTTCTTGTGAAAAAATTGAATAGCATATATTTTCTTAGTAATACAGACCGGCCGGCAAAATTTATTTAACATAAAATCTAATGCTTAACTAGTGGTTAGAAATTCATTTGTTTGTATTTATTTCTAATTAGTATGTTATTCTTTCCTTGTGCAAGGTTTAATAGTCAATAAAGATGACCCTTTGCTTAGTTTAGTGAGCAAGTTGGTTTAGAGGTAATGCTCAGAATTTGATCCGAAATTAGTAAAGCAGTCAAACCCACTACCACTAGTTTCTTGATAACGACTAAAAGGAAGATTGGTTGTAACTTCGTGTCTTCAATCAAAATAATCCTAAAAGTGATTACTTCACTCATCAAGCCAAGCCTTTTTTCTTTTTTTATAATAAATTTTCTCCTGTTCAATGCACTAAGAACGCTCCAAAATATATATATATATATATATATAAAACATAAAAGTTATAAAGTTTTCTTTGTACCATTGTATTCGTTCATATGTTCAAAGTTAAATTGTATGATACGTTAATAAAATATTAAATTATTAATTTTAATAATTAAGATTCAATTCATAATGGTTTTAAATATAAAAAATACAAAACAAAATTAAGAAAAATATAGCATACGGATACTATACAATAAGAGTCGATATCAAATGTCAATACAAATAAATACATTTTAAAAATTAAAAGAAAACTTCGCACGGTTATTTTTCGTGTTGTTTGGTGGGTGGTTTTAAAGATTCAAAGTGAATGGAGAGGAAGAAGAGATGGAGAGAAAGAGAGAGAAAGAGAAAAAAAAAATTAAAAGGAAATAACTTGGCATTTTCAAGCATGAAATTTCCACATATGCAATCCATGTAAGCAAAAAAAATCCATGTCAGCAGACCTACAAGTTAACCAAAATAAAATTTGTAACTAAGATTTTATATTCGAAAAAACAAAATTAAATTTGTTCAAATTATTTTTCATGAATAAAAAATTCTGAATTTTGAATGAGTCCGAAAATCAATCTCATAATTTGACACCAATTGTTGATTATTAATAACTAACACCATTTCCCATGCTTTCTTCGAGGAGGCTTAATGTTCCGAAAGCAGAGCACAACAGCTCAATTAATATGGGAAAAATAAACGCTGAACTGTTGGTATTTCTGCATGGAAAGCGCGTTGCCTGAAGGGAGCAACGAGGCAAGGGCACAAGCACGCACAGGCACGCACAGGCACGCACACATCAAGCATAGAGAAAGAGATTCATAATTATTTCAGAAGGGAGAAGAAAGACAAGAGTATGAATTTATGAACTGCTATAACAATAAATTAATAGAATATAAATATCTGAAGATCAAGGTAAGTGCTCCTAGCTAGAATTAAAGGTGCCTGGCATGTCATAGGGAGGGACGCCATTTTCATGCACTACAATTTGATGCATTGCAGAAACAAAAGAAAGAACTTTTCAAGTACAACAGAAGGAGAATACAACATCTGTGAAGAGCTCAATCCCATTTCTTGCACTTCATTAGTTCAACGCAAGCAACAAACTGAGTGCCCACGACGACGTCTGCCACCGCCAACAACAATGGGTATAGTTCAATTCGTAAGGTTAACTGCAGGAGGAAGTGAAAGAAGATCTTTGTCATCACTGAAAGAATGATTGAAAAAGCAAATAACATCACAAAACAGACAAGCATGAATTGAAGAAATAGCTCAATATGAGAGATAATCTTCTCTTTGGTTAATCAAGTATTATTTTCCAGATGATTAAGCAGATGATATACATTTCAATAGCAGTACACTGAATTTGTGGCAACACTGGCCTTCTAATCAAGTGTTCTCAAAATTTATTTTTCATTTTACTTAATCACGTTCCCTTATTAAGCCAGCTTGATTGTGAAGAAAAAGCTTCATAACTCCCTAAATATCAAGTTGGAGATGATATTTCAATTAATCTATGCATTCAACTTTGACCTTTGATTGCTTACCTCCTGAGTCCTGAACCTAGAGCTGTAAGTTGATCCTTTCAGACCATTTAAAAATATCAGAATAAACACGGTCTCCACCCAGGTCCTCACCAGTGGCCCCAGCTGCTACTCGGATTATATCCTCAATCAAAGCAAAGTTCCCCAATATATCAACATGACCTCCACTTTGGGTGCCTCGACCTTCTAGAAGATTAGCCGGAGGGGCATGATTGTACTCCCTTATGTAAGTACGAATTCCTGAAGGATTAAATCTGGTTTTACCCCGCCAACCTTTTGCACACATGAAACCTGCACTTAAAGTAGGAATTGTCTCATCTCCATCAACAGAGAAAACACCATCTTTTAGACATGACTCTTCACTATCACCCATTACTGAGGTGTCTATCTGAAACGGAATATAGCAATCAGGGGCAGTAGTTAATTTGTAGACATAAGCTCTTTCAGTGGGGATACCAACTCCATACATTGAGTAGATTTCCATGTCCGGAGCATTTGGCAACCTGCAAAATCATATGGCACTTGTTAAGAAAACATAGAGAAAGAGAAAGAGAGAGAAGAGGGGGGGAGGGGCAGGGACAGCCTAGCAGTATAAAAGATTCAACAGCTTTTAATGACAAAACTCAAAAGGATAACAATTTAAAATATTAATCACAACTTTTGCAATCTTAATGAGCTAGCTATGGGATTGGTTAATTATACAAACTCAACCAATTAAAAGCTACAATATCACAGTTGATCACTTCCTTCAAACTAGAGTTTTTCTAAAAGAACAGTTTAGATTTAATCCAAGTACTATAAAAACCAATTATTGCACTAAGAGAAAAACCAAAGCCAACTAGAATAACTGAGAAAAGTTGAAAAACCTCACTTTGTTTCTAAGGGGTTTGACCAATATTTGTAGTGTGCATACTTTGGGTCATCCAAATTATCAGCTATCCCATACGAAAAATGAGCAGCTCCCCGTGCCATCAACTTGGGGGCAACAAAATGAAGCAGATCCAAAATTGATCCAGCAGTGTAAACTTTGTAATCGGTAACTGCTTTGATATCGCCATTGCCCATTTCATGATACTCTATCCAAACATCACAGTTGCTTGAGTTGGCAAGCTTATCACCCTTCTCAACATCCTGCTAATCAACAATAATCATAAATAAACTCCAAGCTACAGACTAAGCAACTGATTATCTTCCTAGCATGCAAACCAAAAAGCACAATGTATAATAGTCGTCCTTTCATTATTGCATTTTAATGAATAAAATCTTCCAGTTGGCATACATGCATTTCACATACAAGTAGGTGAAAGTTCAGCACATATTTTTTTCCTTTCCGTTAAAAAAACTCAGCAAATTTTAGTCACATGATCTTGAAAACTTGGATTAGTGGCAATTGGTGAAAATGATCATTGTTAAAAGAGAAGAAATAGAGAGAGAGAAAGAGAGAAAGATCATCCATCTGATTTCACTTTATAAAGATAATTAATCATAACTTGGACATTACCTTAAAATCAACCCTCTTAATTTTGGAGGAATGTGCCTCAGCCACATCTTTCCCAAATGAAATAAGTCTCCCATAATTCACACCTTTCATATCACCCAAATTGCTGTTTGCGTTTTGACCTGTATTATGAGTGCTATTGTTCTTCAACTTTTTCGCACTACAGTTAAAGCTTCCTCCTTCTGGTGACCAATCAAGCCCACCCCAGATAGTGTCCCCACCTTTTGGTATCATTGACAAAGTGGCATCCCATGTACGAAACATCCGCATTAAATGCTGAAAAGTTTGAAGACCAAGTACATCTTTGTCCAGAAAACCTGGTGCAAAAGCCCTGTTTTAACAATTAGCATTTCATCAAGCTCCCGAAGCAAAGTAGACTTGCACTTCATCATGACTGAAAAACTATTTTAGGTTTTGCCAAGAGTGAGAGCAGAGCAAACCGATACGGTTTAGGGTGCAAAACCATGCTTGACAGCATGACTGCACCATTTTGGAGAATCACATGATTTAAGAAGAAATTAAAACACTCCAATGTTTATAACAGAATATACAACCAAAACTAACTATAGTAAAGGCTTGCATGAAATGACTGTTATTAAGAAAAAGACAAAAGCAGGGCCAAAAGGATTGAGGGATAGAGATGCAAAATGGATTAAGATTGCAAATTTTAGTGATTCCTACAGACTGATTTATCCTTTTACTTTGTACACTCAAGAAATAATAACATCAATCCACTATCATAATAGAAGCCTTTAGAAAGGCCAGATTTATTACTGATTTAAGAATTGAAACAACATTATTTCAATAAACCGATGCCATAAAAGAAAAAGGCATTAGAAAAGTTAGTTCTTTCTCACAAGGACATATTTGCAAGCACAAGATCTGTAGTGACAGAAAGCATGGTGTCATAGTTAGCATCAGAATTTTATGCCGATTGGTTGACAAAGATAGCAGTAGTAATATGACAATCCACACCAAGACAAGAAATATTCTTTTTCCACACAAAAAAAAAAAAAATCGAAGTACCTGGCCATGGCTATATCCCTGACTTCAATAGAAAAATGCAGTGAGACCGATTTTGGAACACCTAAAAAGGGCGCACCAATGTTCATTACTGCCTTTATGTGCTTAGCACACCAATCTGATCCGCCTCCACCACCCATGGGAGCTGGCGCTTCAACCCATTTCATGAAGTGCAGAAAGTACAGGACTCCCATTGAATGCGGAACGACTACTACCTTTTTCCCACCATTTGTAGCTACCATGAGCTCTATGTTACTTTTTATTCTCGTTAAAGTTTGGTCCCTGACCTGATTTATTCAAATAAAGTAGAAGCAATAAGATAATTTTAGGGAGTTATAAGCATAATGCTAATCAAACCATCAGCACAGCAGAATTACCAAAGATAAACATTTAAAGTCTATTTACCTCCATAAGCACAAAATTATTTGGCAGAATAAGTTTGGGAGGAATGAGAAATTTCAAATCAAGTGCATACCTCCGTGTTCTGAAAAGATAACCTCCAATCATAAGCAGCCATATACATTGATTTTTCCTCATACCCAATCTGAGCCAAATTAGCAATTAGGACAGCCCAAACAAAATAACCTGCTGCAAAATAATCAGCTGCCACAAGTCCAGATACAGGCCTGACCCTTATACCAGGAGGGTCCAATCCAGTTTCATTATCAAGTGACATGTGCTCAAGCCAGCATAATGGTCTGCAACGAAATTGGGAGAACAGTGTGGAAGAAAATTTAGTAAACTTCATGGACAACTTAGCTTTTGCAAACAGTTAGAAGATAAACACATGAAACAAGGGAAAATAGCAATACCAGGTCTAAGTTGGAGCAATTTCCATTCTAACTAATGACATTTTCATTTTGTGACCAAAAACAATTTAAAAGATAAAACTCAATATAGCAACCATATGCCATAGATTAAGGAAAAGTTTTCAGAAAATTTCAGGAAGCAAAACCTATAATCTTCTTTGTATATCAAGAGAAGCCAGTATTACTACAAAGACTAAAGAGCAATAAAGTAAATAAATCACTCATTGGAAAGACAGATTGGTCTTGTTCAAGTCTAGAGGCAATCCACTAGTTATAAAGCATAATGACATCCTCAAACAAGGAAAAAACTTGAATTGGCAGAACATTTTAGATTCAATAAAGGCCTAAGGAGAGTTTAGGTAGTATTTTACTTGGCAAGAGTTAAAGATTCTTCAAAGCAGCAAATACGTTTTTTCAATAATTATCCTGTGAAGTACTCTAGCAGGAAAACACTAACATCAAAAGCAAAGAATCATGATAGCATTTTGACGGTTTTAACTACTGTCTATGTCAATCCATGTGGCCGACACTGTAACAACAAAGATTGGCAAGGAAAAAAGAGGAACCAAAAGAAAAGGGGAACGCATAGAGACAACAATTTTAGCAACTGGAGCCAAAATATGTCAGTTTCCACTCGGCAAATCCCTAGCTTTCCAGTTCTAGAACAACAAAACAAAATGAAATCTGCATTCTTACAGCAACCTTATGAACAACTTTGTAAGCATTCCTAAACATGTTCTTACCCCTTGCGAAAAGCTTCAACTATTACAGAACAGACTATACAACACATGATCCAACCGGGTACCAGTACAAGTTCTAATCCACACTGTCACTCACAGTACAGTGATCAAGTTGCTGTAAGAGGGACCAAAGTTACCTTTCTAATGTCCCATAAGCAAACATAAAGCCAAAGTAAGAATCATTTGCAACAATAAAAAGGTTTTAATGTTAGAAACCAATACAAAGAAAGAAAAGAAAAGAACTTTAAAGTCACATCTCAAAAGCCTTCGTTGATCTAATTCATGACCTTTAAAATATTTTTAAGAAAAAATCAAAAATAAAAAAAACATTTTCCTCACACGTCATAACTCCAATACACTAAACCTCAAAATTCTCGAAAGAAAAAAAAAGCAAAAGCTAATACCTTTTATATAATTCTCCAAACGAGCCACCCCAAAGGCGTTTCCCAAGCAACCCTTCAGCACACTGGCGCCCTTCCCAAAGCTCGAGCCCACCTGTCACAATCCCAGGCACGAGCACCACTGGGTGATTCACCGTCCAGCCCTCTTTCCTCAACTTGACACCGGGAGGGTCCGGCAACGGCCCCGTTATCGCCTCCGTTACGTACTGCGGGAACGAAGCGGGCATTGCGTTGTATAAGAACAACAAGAACCACCACATCGAACATATGAAACCGATGAACCAACAACAGCTGTCCCAACACGACCATTTTTTAGAACTATACCTTTCTCTTCGGGGGCTCTTGTATTGCTTTTTCTTGTCATCTTCTTTTTCGATGTTGGGTTCAGAGTTTGGGGAATTTGAGGAATCCGTTACGTTCCTCCGCCTCAAAATCGACATCGTTTGAAAGCCAAAATGGGATCTATATATATGCTCTGGGTTGGGGCTCGGTTGCTCATTAGTAGAAACTAAAAATTCTGATTCTGAGATTCTTCACATTGATCGGATAAAGGGCTTTTTTTTGTACCATCGACGCCGGTGATGTTAAAGACAGTCGCCGGCGGATTACAAGTGGAAGCACAAGAATGGCTGATATTTAAGCTCGAAAAATTCCTTTTTTTAGATCCCTCTAACGGTGGATCCCACCGTGAAAGCGATTGTTTCTGGGGGAGGGCGGAATGAGTAACGAGGCTGTCTCTTCCTCTCTTGACCGTTTACTTTCCCTGGGTTGGCGATAGAATGACGGTAGTCAGCTAATCGAGGGGGATGCATTGGGAAAGAGTTGGCGGTAATTGAGCCGAGAGAACTGATATAGTGAAAAACTTGAACTTTAAGTTCGACCCTTAATTTATGGTTTAATATTCCTTTTGAATTCGATTTAATTTTATTTTTTAATTCAAATTTGATATCGAATTTAAGTTATTTGAATTTGTTTAATTAAATTAAAAAATATATAAAAATAAATTTAATTTTTATATTCGATAAAAATTTAATTATTTATATTTAAATTTAAATTTGATATATTTTATTAATTAAAATAAATAAAAATTTAAATATAAAAATTTAATTGAATTTATAAATTATTCGAATTGAATATAAAAATACTCGAATTCGATTTGATCGATAAAATAAATTATTCAAACTCGATTCGATAATAATTAAATCAAATTTAAATTTTATTCAAATCGAATTTAAATAATTTATTAATATTAATATATCATTTATATCCTTAACAATAAAGAGAGATGAAGCGAGGTGGATTTAACGATGATTGAGTAACGTTTTTTGCCACTAGCAGAGCCATAAAAGCTGCTTCTGGCTTTCTGGTTTCTTCCTTTTTCGGCTTCAAGGCCATGAGCCCCAAGACGGTCTAAATAAATACAGATTGGTCTACACGACGTCAATATGACAGATTTTACCAACTTCATTACTTTTTTTGGACTCGTACACTTTGCTCATTAAAATCAAATATCTTCATTTTTTTATTTGCCTTTTAGAAAAATAATGTTAATTATTTGTTTATTATGATTATTGGCGAGCTACTGAAAATACTAAAAACATTTTTTTTGTATAGATACCAATTATTTTAGTCTAAAATTTGATCTTATAATTTCGAGATTAAACAAGAATATTAATGCTTATAATTGTTCACACGTGGTTAATCATCTTTATTGGAAATATCACACGTACACGAGAAAACCTTGGTCTATATAAACATATAATGTTGGTACATTATTATATTTGTTAATAATATTCAATTTGTTCATTTAAGTTATGTCATGTTATTTATATGTATGGAAGATATTTTTTTTAATTAAACAAGTATTCTTAATATATATATATATATAGATGCACGTTATATATCAAACGCATGACTCATGCACAAAATTATTGAACTCTCACTAGCATTAAAAGCGGCTTCCCTTCACACATCACTATCGGAAATGTCGTTTGATAAAGTATTTTTAATATTAAATTTTATAAACATTAAATTTATATTATAAAAATTATTAAAAATGTTACTAAAAATCAGTTTGGAATATAATTATATTATTCTATAATAAAAAACATTAAATTTTGAAAAATATTCATTTTGTACATTATTTATTATCATCGCATTTTTTGTTAGTTTAAATAGATCAAAATTTTATCAATAAAACTATAAAATATTTAAAAAATTAATATTTAATATTATACATAAATAATTAATTAATATAATATTTATATCTTTATTTATAATTTAAATATTATATTAAAATTTATTTTTGATATTATTTTATTAAAAAATATGACTATATGTTATTTCAAAGATTGTGAAATGACCAAGGTCGCTCAAACTCCAAGATACAAAATTGATTGTGGAGAGGAAGAAAAATGTGGATGATTTTGCATGCGTGTTAATTGAGTAGGGCACAAGGACCAAAAAGGACCACACCCTGAATATGTCGAAGATAGGAACAATAATTGTCCCAAAGAATATAATAAATGCAGGCTTAGTAAAATAATTATGGGTGGCATTTCCAAAGAAGATAACTGGCATCAGTTCAGAAAATATGCGGGCTTCAAAAAAATATCCGGTGGATCTCAAAATTATTTTATCTACCTACCCTAATAGAAACAAAAATCAAAACTCAACTTTGACGGGGTTTAAGGAACAAAAATAGATCGAGAAAACAGTGGGTGAAAAGGAATACAAATGGTAAGCTTTTGTTGTAGATAAATCGGACACATCTGAAAATAAAATATATAGATAAAATTCAAAAAAATTTTATTGCTTGCCAATAAGAATATGTAAATGGTTAAAATTTAGAATTTAGATGCAAATCACTTATATTCGAATATCTATAATTTTTTATTGATAGATAATTTATAAATTAAAAATATTTTAAAAAATTTATAATTTTTTTGTGAATTCATTCCTTAACTTTTCAAACAAAAAAAAAGGTGAAATTCATTGAACCTATTTTTTTATATGCTAAGTGATAAATAGTTCTCTATCTATTTATTGTTACAAAATTTTGCTAAGTAATACTTAATTAAATGTATTTAAAATAATTATTGAAATATTAATTCTTAATGCATTAAAAATTTTGAGTACATCATCAAACAAGCTGGGTTGGTGGCCTTACATATGTTAAATCTGGTATTGAAAGTAGGGGGCGCCCTGCAAAGATTGCAACTAAGCCCATCAATATGCCCCATTGCGTATTCTCAAACAACCCAAAACCGGAAAAGGAAAGGGCGGCAGAGATTGGATTAGAGTCCAATTGATAGATCATCAGAGTATAGGAAGGGAAACATCAGCTGAGCCCAGCTACAGCCTAAACATCATCCGCCGTTCGATGTAAACGTGATTATTCGTATGTTTGTATGATATGTTAAAATTTATATAATTTATATTAATATAAAAATATAAATTTATTTTTTATTTATAAAATTTATTTATAAATGTTAAAAAATTTTAAATTTTATTATTTTTTAATAATATATTTTTATTACATCGTATTTTAAATTATTAAATTATATCCGTATAAACAATAAAAAGAAAAAAGCCAAGCACTTTTTTTTTCACAAAACAGTTTTCGCATCACACTGAAATGAACACTGCTATCCCATTATAGCGGCTTGCGAGCCTTCCCCTCCACACCAACTTGCGTCAACTTGCGTTGTTTCCTCTTTTCCTTCTCCAAAGAACAAAACAAAAGAGCAACCCCTCTAAAACAGAATCAGAAACGCAAAGAAAAGCAAATGCAGCTGCTTAACGCCTCCACTCTCCTCCGATGAGATCGAGAGGTGATTCTTTTGTTTTTATCTCTTCCATTTTTTTTTTAAATATATTGTTTAATCTGTTTTTATTTGGTTAGTGCAGAGAATCTCTGATCGGTTTAATTTTAACGTGGCATTAAAGAGATCCTGAGCGAGTCTCGTAATTCGAGCTCCCTGAAACTCTAAATTGTTAATTTCTCTTGTTTTACTCTGTTTTATTAGTTTTTCATCGTTTAGTTCTCGAATTCCGACAAATGTAGTTTTAAATGTAATCTTTTTCTTTTTCTTTTTTTCACAGAAGTCTTGTCTTTTGAGAGAATTTCAAAATAACAATGCTGACGTGCATAGCTCTTTCCAAGCAACCCGGTGATGACTCAATGAGTCAACCCGAGGAAATCGACTCTTCCACGACTTCTAGCACTAAGCACAACCAAGCCATTAAATCCCTCACTTCTCAGGTAATTAACTCTGAATTTTAGGAGAAGAGGTTTTCGAGTTCTTTGTTCTTTGTTTGGCTTTAATGAGAGTAGTTTTCTTTTTTCCTGGTGTTTTAGTTGAAGGATATGGCGCTAAAGGCGTCGGGGGCGTACAGACACTGCAACCCCTGCACGGTGCAGAGTCGGTTGAGGAACTCCGGTGGGTCTGACGCGGATTCCCACAAGTTCAGATGTTCGTATCATAGAACCGGGAGTTCAAGCTCGGCGACGCCGAGGACGTGGGGGAAGGAGATGGAACTGAGATTGAGAGGGATATCGAGTTCGAGCGGAGAAGCTACGCCGAAATTGGTGAGCGGGCGCCGAGTCGAATCGATCGTGTTCGTCGAAGAAAGTGAGCCTAAAGAATGGGTGGCCCAGGTGGAGCCCGGCGTGCTTATCACCTTCGTTTCGCTTCCCCGTGGCGGCAACGATATCAAGCGGATACGGTTTAGGTGCGCCCTCATTTTTCTGATTTCCGATTTTTACGGTTCTGATTTGTTTTCAAGCGCTGGATTTTTAGTCGTACGGTTGCAGTTATTTTAGAATTTTTAGTCACTGTTTTGGAAATCGCTTGGAAACTTTAGAATTGAAAAGGACACGTCATCTGTCGGATTTTTTTTTTTTCATAAAATTAAGGTGATAGGGGTAGGGGTTGTTTGGATGTCAATGTTGACTGCCTAATATTTTGGTTTGTTAGGGACAAAATCTTTAGATTTAACTATTTATGTATCCTGGTTTATTTTATATCAAAAAGATGTAAAATATAGAAATTATTGTATTATAATTTATATATATATTAACTATGAAATATGTTTTTAATTTTTATTAAATTAATATATGATTTTTATTAAAATTTTAAATAATATTATTTTTAACATGTCATTGTCATATTTAAAATAATTATATCTAAATTCTTTTTAGTAATTGATTCCTTTCTTTTTAATAAATTAATAAATGAAAAGACTTTCTTTTGTAAACCACCTTTTTTTAATCATAAGAAAAAAAATGTAAAATTTACATTTATTTTCCCCAATATATATATATATATATATTACATTTAACTTATTATCCAAAGATTGCCTTGCCAACCTCGGAAGGAAAACGAAGAATTTTAGGTGAGGGCCCTACGGTGTAACAGTTGGCTTCACGCCTAATGAAAAGCAATCCTTATAAAAGTCCAAAAGAGAATTAATCCTGCCTTGTCAGTGGTGTCTGGGACAGGATTGATTGTATCATGTTGGGAAGCTTTTTCACCGAGACTTGTCGCCCTGTCGGAGAAGCCTCTTCCTTTTCTTTTCATTCAAAACAAAAAAAATGAATTTCCATTTACGCCTGATTCTCCGAGTCCTTGTTTTCTTCCGACCCATTTCTTTGTCATTTTGCCTGCAAATTAACTAGGGAATTCCCACATCATCTTCCACTCCAGAACTACATGCAAGACAAAAAAAAAAAAGAAGACCTTTTCTAAGCTTATGTTTGCCAACAGACAAAGACCCGACTACAACATTCACCTTTCCATGTTTTCTTCAGGCAGTGACAAGAGGGAGTAGTCATTTTGATCAAGGGCACACTGTTGTTCCCTTCTCATTTGTGACCTTGGCCACATTTGACTTCTGTGCGTGTTTCCACTATAGAAATTGATTTAATAGGTAATTTACTGTATCTTCCATCATCACTTTATATTCATATGATCATATCTGATTTAATGTTTGATGAAGCTACTCATTGGTTTTAGACTCCTGATGCTTTTTCTTTTTGGAAGACTAGACATCCCACTACTTCAAACACAATGATGCCACTTAGAAAATTTTAAATATTCCTCTTACCTAAGGGTGGTTGTTAGCTTTTTTATGATCCAAAGTAAGAGGGGAAATGCTTAGTCAAAAGATGTTTGTAAGACAATCCAGTGGCCCAATATATAATTAAAATTTTTCTTTCACATTAAAGATGATAATGCAATTATATTGGTCATGGTTGAGTTTTCAAGTCATTGATTTGTGAAAAAGGTAATAGCATGTTTGTGAAATTAGGACTTCCAAATATGAGGACACAAATTTTATCTTCCATTTATGATAATTTTGACCAAAAATTGTGCTTGATGTAACTAATATGTCACCCTGTTTTCTAAAGCAATCATTCCATGTTTTTAGCGCATGCATAACATGAATCACTAATTTCTAATTTCTGGTATCCTAATCTCGTGAACATCAGGAGTGCTGAATTACAGTTTATTTTCTTTGACTAGTCGGGAAATGTTTAACAAATGGCAAGCTCAGAGATGGTGGGCAGAGAATTATGACACGGTCATGGAACTTTACAATGTCCAGAGGTTTAACCGCCAGGCATTTCCATTACCAACACCCCGACGATCTGAAGATGAGGCAAGTTCTTCGCCTGTTGGTTGCTGAACGTACTGTGAATGAGCTGCACCTATTCAATGCCCTGCAGTAATACTGTGATGAACTGAATTTAGACTGTTGCAATGCAATGTCCATGTATGTTTTTGTTATTTTTCAATGTTAATAATATGATTCTTTTGATTTCTTACAGAGCTTAAAAATGGAATCAGCAGAAGAAAGCCCAGTAACACCACCATTGACTAGAGAACGCTTACCTCGTAATTTATATCATCCAACAGGGATGGTCATGGGCTACTCATCCTCGGACTCACATGATCAGCCCCCAATGCAGTGCCGGCATTATTGTGACTCTGGTCTTACCTCAACCCCAAAACTTTCCAGTATTAGTGGTGCCAAGACAGAGACATCATCAATGGATGCCTCTATGAGGAGCAGCTCATCAAGAGAGGCTGATCGCTCAGGAGAGCTATCCATCAGTAATGCCAGTGATCTTGAGAATGAGTGGGTTGAACAAGATGAACCAGGGGTTTACATTACTGTCAGAGCCTTGCCAGGGGGAAAAAGGGAGCTTAGGCGAGTTAGATTCAGGTAAGGTTTTTGACATTCTTTAACGTCAGTGATTGTTGGTTTGCCATAAAATAACCAATATTTGAACAGGACCATGATTACTGATAGAGAAATGTGCTTGTGTGAAGTTATCAGCCCCAACCATCAAACTGTTCTTGGCACCTAACATCTTAGAAAACTTGCGGTATCTCATAGTGGTGGATATAGCAGGTTGCAGTTTGATTCTTGCAGTCACTGCGAGTGAATCATACAAGCTACATCTAAATCAAATTTAGATTAGTTCATATGCCTAATCTTTTCATTCCCTAAGTTTAATAACAATTGCACTACTCTTGTTGCTAGTTGAAATCCAGGGTTTGATATCTCCCTTTGTCTCCAGTACACCAGTGGCTGGCATCTTTATGTTGGATGTTACCCACTGATGGAACCTTTAACCAAACAAAGCCTCTCTCTAATTTAGTTGGCAAACAGACTGATGAAATTTTATTTGATGGCCTTTCCTTGCATTTTCTGACTATGATCGAATGTGATCTAACTTGCAGTCTACTTTTCAGTGACTGGCATACTTTCTAGATTCATTAACTCCACTGTAGAGATTGTTACATATCAAATGACCAGGCAGTTTGCTGTCATTGGCAAAGTCTTTCTGTTTAATTGAATTATATTAGAAGTCTTAATTTGGTTTGATAAGCTCAATTGCTGAGAACATGACCAAGGCATAAGCTGCATTATCTTTTCTCCTTTTTTACCAAAAAGGGAAGGCAGTTGGTTAAAAGTTAAAAACACCTAAGCATTGAATATTCATTAGAAATGCTCCAAAAAGCCATTTTTTCCGTGGATTTAACTTCATTTTTAGGTTGATGGGTCCAGCACAAGTCAATACTATAACTGAGGTCCACCTTAGAAACAATTATGATTTGAATTACTGTTTATCAGAAACAGGTTTATTAGCTGTAAATCTTTTTTGACAACATCATTACCGAGTCGCTAATCCTGCTTTCACGAACAATTTTACTCCCATGACGAGGCAAATCTGTAACTACAGCCTAATATAATTTCTTTTTGGCCTTTCATTTAGCCGATCCCAGAGTTATGGGATATAAGGCTTAGTTTGTCGTTGTTGTTATTGTTGCCAAGGCAAATCTACCGTGAAGCTGATACTGAAGAAATGCAATCTGTCTTTCATTTCCATCACTTTTATCTTAAAATTGACTGGATTCCTCACTTTACCCCCTATGTCATGCAGCCGAGAAAGATTCGGAGAGATTCATGCTAGGCTGTGGTGGGAAGAGAACCGAGCCAGGATACACGAACAATACTTGTAATTAAGCAAAACAAAGGTGGCTATAGCTGTCTTCTGGCGCTTTTCTAAATTGTGGGGGTGTGTATTTTCTCATTTCTTCTGCCATACTTGTAGAATCTCTTCTACAGCAGGTGCTACTGGCTACTGGCACCTGTTCCTATTTGGGCAGCCAAGTTTTTCCAGCTCTAGAAATATGATGCGGGGATTTTATATTAGTAGTTTCTTAAAAAAGTGTTGATGGATAAAGAGCATCAACTGTGTATTTGGGTGGTGGTGAGAAAGGAAATCGATATCAATGAAAGAATGTGTTTCCTCCTTTATCATGCTGCCAGCTACCTACATGGACAACCAAAGGCTTGAAGACACCTTCAGCTTAGGTGTGACATATATTATAGTACAAATTTAGTGATGGAAAACGTGTAAACCACCAGATTAAATGCTTAGGAAGAGCTCAGGCAAAGTAAAAGTCAAACACATCAACAATATTTTTCATTTTAGAAGGAAGTTTTCCTTATTCACAATGTTTGTGTAAAATGTAAAATCTTGGCCTATATGCACCCGTCAACCATTTGAAATCTCTTTTAGTTTTAAAACTTAGCCCAACATAACAGTCCAGGAGCATTAACTTTCAATTAAGATTTTATTTGAATGAATGATAAAATTAAAAATAATAATTATTATTATTATAATTATGATTAAAAAATTTTAATGAAAATTTTATATTGAATAAATCTTACTAAAATATATCTTTAAATTTAATTATTGATACAGTAAGTAATTAGATCGTATCAGCTGGACTTGATCATTCATGTTTACGGTCTTGGGCCTAATTCTTTTGCGGAAATTTGCCAATTATATCAGGTTCTTAGTTTTGACGCCACCAAAAACTCCAAAACAATGAAAAAGGTCGGTACTGGGAATACATCCAAATTAATAATAATAGTCTAAATTTTAACATAAAAATAAAAATATTTATATTTATATCACGTTTGTTTACACAAATTAAAACATAATAACTTTTATATTTTATACATATTTAATATAAAATAAATACAATGGACATATCGCAAGAACGAGGCAATTTAGGCTTCTTAAAACTTAGCAGTTTGTATTGCTTATTGGTTCAATTTGAATGCATCTCCCTCCGTACATCTTTTTTTTTCCTTTCAAATTAAATGAAGAAAAAGGTCTCTCTCCCCTCTGTAATCTGTCCTTGGCCACAAAATGAGGGGTGGAATCAGACACTTGGAAGCTCTCAAGTTCCGTCCTCATCAATGCACAAAGCTGATGGATTTTGCTTTCGTTTTTTCTGATTCAGGTGGTAAAAACTCTGTGACAACAGTTACTCCGAAAAAGTGAAAGGTTAAAATGACCTGACATTAGCACTTCATTGATTTCTGATTGGCTATGGGCTGACAATTAACCCCAAAGAAAAGAATTTAAATTCATTCCCAACCAAAAGACCCCTAGTAAAATTTCCACCCGCACGCGTGGCAATCTCCAATCCTCTTTCTTTTCTGCTTTAAGCTTATCTATGTTTATGCAGTACCATACACAATCAGACACAATACCGAAGTAGAGAAAACCAAACAAACCAATCCAGTTCATAGTGAGGAAATTTCTATTTCTATTTGTGTTCAGTATTCACATGCATTCAAAATGCATTCTACTTAATGTGTCTTTGCAGCTTTTGACACTCTCGAAGCAGACACTAAAGCTCTTTGCCATTCTTTTGTTTTCCTTCTTTAATCTCATTCCTCTGTTTTTTCCCTGTATAAATTTCTGTTTCCTCTGTTCTTCCTTTGTGTGTGTGCAAAAAATATGCATAGAAGAGAGAGTTCGGTGATAGAAGCTACGGTTCCTCAAAGAAGAAGAAGAACCTCTTCTTTCTCTTCAAGTCTTCTTGATGCTATTTACCGTTCCATGGATAAATCAACTAATGGAGATGAAGCAACATTGTGCCATTACAGGGAAACAAAAACAACCCTTGTTCAGAATCAGAACAATGCTTCTTTGGAAGAAGAGAGAAAGGTTTCATGTCTTCGACGGGCTATTATGATTGAGAACTGGGTTGAGAAGCAGAGTAGTTATGGCTCAGCTGTGCATTTCAACTCAACTTCAAGTTCCTCGGATTCAAGCAGCGGAGGAATCTTCTCATCATCCGAAGCTGAGTCAAGTTACAAGGAGAAAGCAACAAGATCGACACCGGCTACACTGGACAAGTCTTTGCAGTTTGAGCCAAGAAACTTTGAAAACAATCAACAAAAGGCCAAGCGTGAAGGTGGTGGGTTCACAAAGACCAAAATGAAAGCTTTGAAAATCTATGGTGAATTGAAGAAAGTGAAGCAGCCCATTTCTCCTGGTGGTCGTATCACAAAATTTTTAAACTCCATTTTCAATGCTAATGCTAAGAAAGTGAAGATGTGCTCCGTTGGGGTTTCGGACGATGTAAGTTTTGAAAGCAAATCAAAATCAACATGCTCATCAGCCACTTCATTTTCCAGGTCTTGTTTGAGCAAAACACCTTCTTCAAGAGGCAAGAAAATGTCAGTTAGATTTTGTCCAGCTAGTGTCATTGTTGATGAAGATTGTAAACCTTGTGGCCATTTGCCCACTTCAACTGTTCAAAAGAATGTCAAAAGTTCTTCAAGAAAAGAGGAGCTGAAGAATTTTGTCAAGGAGAAAGAATCAGGAGTTAGCAATAAAGCAAGAGATTATCGAAAGAGTTATCAAAGGAGGGGTACTGGTAAATTGGATTTGAGAGCCTTTGTTGATGATTATGAGGATGAGGATGAAGAGGATGATGATGCTTTGAGTTGTTCAAGCTCTGATCTTTTTGAGTTGGATCATCTTATTGGAATTGGAAGGTATAGAGAGGAGCTGCCAGTGTATGAAACCACTAGTTTGAAAACTAATCAAGCCATTGCTAATGGCTTCATATTGTAGCTCATTATCTTCTTTCAAATTGTAATTAATGGTTTGGGGGATTCAAATTGAAAATTCAAGTTATTTTTTCTTCTGATAAAGATGATGATGATGATTCTCTATGTTTGATAAACTTTGAGAAAACAAAAATCAGTCTAAGATGCTGAAAATTAAAGTGTTTGAAGAGTGAAGATTCCATGTTACTTTTTCACACAGTGAACCGTTAAAGCAATACCCAAAAAAAAAGGTGAAAAAGGAAAAGCAAACACAAATCTTCTCCCCGCGAGAGAAGGGAGAAAGTGAAAACTCTTTGCTTTTTCACTGGCTTAAGCACATGGCCTCAATATCCCAACATAAATTAGTTCCCCTTTGGAGTCACAGAATAAAAAATTTCCATGCTTGGATTTCTTTTATGCCTCCTGTTTCTCTGGTTGAAGATATCCTTGGCTATCACGTTGAATATGGACTTTGAATTCTGAAAGAGTAGACAAAGGGACAGCCGATGCTTGCCATAGCCAACTGTTTGAGTTCCATAAATTCTGTCTGTCTCACCTTGTACTTGCACTATCATAAACAGAATGGAATCTCAAGGATTTATGCTGTTAGAGTTGTTGGTGGGTGGGGATATTCTTTCTTGATTTGGTGGGATAAGGCTAACAGCTTAGAATATTATTAGAGACATCTTTAAGTAAGATGTAAGAACTATAGGTAAAAGATAAAGTCAGACCAGATAAAGATAACCATCTTCATTTTAAGACATGTAGTTATATTTAGACTTAATAATTTAAAAAAAAATTTGGTGCCATAAGATGAAAATAATATAAAAATTAAAAAAATAAAAATGACACAGGTTAAAATTTTAATAAAAATCATGAGTTAAATAAAAAAAATATGTTTCATATTTTTTATGTCAATATGAATTATGATATATAATTTTTATGTAAAATATGATATAAACACATAAATTATCAATATCTTACACAACACGAATATATGAATTACCGGTTTTACTTTTATCCTTCCATCAGCCAGATTTTATACAAATTTATTTCCTTGACAAATAGATTCATGTCTTACAAGTTTAGGATGTTAAAAAAAGAAAAGGGTTTTCCAAGGTGAATTCATTTGCTCAAGATTGGAAAACCAAATGACTGATGCAGTTGATACATTATCTGGTGTGGATTTTTACTGATATGGAACTCAATTATGGTGTGATCAAACTTCAATCAGAAGAAAATTGCAATCTATCAATTATATAGATGTCCAAATGCCAAATTAAACTGATGAATGATGCTAAACCTTTGCACACAAGTAGGGTCACACATGAGGAATCTCAGTAGTCAAAATACAGCAGGATCAGAGATGATGGCTAAAATCCAAACAAACTTTTGCACCAGATGAAAAACAATAAAAAAAAAAATTTGTGAGCAACCATGTATTCTTTGGGATGAAATGGGACAGCAGAGGCTGGCCACCATCGTTGACTTGGTTACCAAAAGAAGAGAAAAACCCCATCCCAAAGACGAGAAAAAAATTGGGAAACAATGGAGAAAATCCGGAAAGCAAAAACTCTCTTTCCACTTGAGAATGGTGGGAACATTTATTAACAATAATACAGGTGTCATCCTCGACCTTGTTCGATCGAGATGTTTTAAAGAAGACTTTGAAAATAAAGATAGAGAATCAAATGATCCCTTTCAGCATGTCACACCCTCTCTTTATCATTAATGACGTGCGATGATTTGAAAATAACCTTCGTTTGATGACATTTTACTGTTTCTTTCGTATAATTGAAACTACAAATTAACCTATTTCTGTTCCTCCCATACAGGCCACCACTTCAAGGCAGCAGTAATCCTTTCCTGAGGAGTTCTCATAGGCAAATTACTTTTCCTTTTTAATGATTTTTTTAATGAAATCATAAAATTTTCAAGTTAAAATGTATTTGCTGAGTATGGATTTGATTTTCACGTTAAGATCGAATTTACAATGAAAACAGGTTGAGTCCTTCTGTTTAAAGATAAAAAAAAAAATGTGAAATTTGAATGAAAAATTAAAATTAAAATACATAAAACCTATTATTATATCAATAATAATGTATCAGTCAAATCAGATGTTATCATATGGCCAACAAATTAGAGATGCAAATCCAAAACCCATTTGGTTCAACACTTTTTAACTTGGCTTAAAATCAATAATTTGGCAGTACTACGAGTAGTAAACAGTAAATATTTGAATGACAGCACAAAAGGTGCAATATTCAGGAATTACTTTGTGGTTAAAGCTAACAATAATTTCAAATGGGCCCTCCGTGTCTGAGTCCAAGGCATCTGGTCTGCTTCCTGTAGCTGGCAAGCCCACTTACGAGGGCAATAAATGAGAGTAAGACAACAGAGCCGCACGTGACAGCCTGCCCCTCTTCTTTTTACAAAGCTTGGCCATGAAGCGCACGTGTTCTACGGTTTAATGGATTATTTTAAGGTTCAGAAATCAAAATAAATAAAAAAAGCAGCTTTCAATTTTAAAAATGCAAGAGAGGTACGTAGGAAACAGAGTGTGTTTTCCCCGCGTGGGTATATAATCTTTTAAAGCTCAAATGGCTGTCAGAGCAAAAAAGACGCGGTTTCTGTATTTTATGTACCTGGAAAACCCCCCACTCGCTTGTAGGATGTCGATGTTGGCACGCTCTTGGAGTTTGGACCGTTGATTCATCCTTGGTTTTGGCTCTTTTGCAGCCCAAAAGGTGAGTTTCCAAAGTGAAATTTTTGCTTTAAAGAGTTCAAATACTTTTCTTTATTTGAAGACAAACAGATTCAAACAGTTTCTCCAACAAGTCATTTTTAAGAGTTATATTCAATAAATTATTTTTTCTATATTCAAGCTATTATTTATTTTGTATTAAAATTTATTTAATTGTTTGAAAAAAAAATGTAGTTAGCATTTCCAAAAAAATTGCTTAATCGGCTTTTTTTCTTTCATCGGCCTACATCTTATATTAGTTAATTTATTTTATAATATAAAAAATCGTTTAATCCAAAATCAATTAAAATTAAAAACTTCGTCATGTTGTGGTTTGTTAATTGATTGGAATAAAGTTTTTTTTTTCTGGTTTTACCTATCAATTTATAATTTCCAAATTTATTTTACTCATTTATCATCAACTTCGAACATCTGAAAAATAAATTTAACTAAATATTTTTATTTATTAAAACTGATTTTGAAACTTTGAAAAGAAAAAGAAAAAAAAATTTATCTTCGAATATGGTCATATGGGCTGAAAAACTCGGATAGTATAGCTCACAGCCCATTTATGTACCAAACAAAGACCAGAGATCAGAGAGCCGACCAAAACAAAAAAAAAAATATTGTCTTCGCGACCGAGCGACCAAACCTCCTCGAACAAGCAATCTCTCCCCAAATCCAACCAGCGCAGCGACAACACGCGTTTTGTATCAGACCGGATCATAGCAGTCTCCCACCACTTCGTTTTCAGACAGCTTTCATAGCGTCTGTCGAACATGAGTTTCCTCTTTGGCAAGAGAAAAACTCCCGCAGGTATTTTTTTTTTAATTTTTTAAATAATTAAAGTTTGTATTAATATGGAAAAACAGTCTACGATAAAGTGATTCCATATAGAGGGTTTATGTAATTGGATAATTAAGTGATTAAAACAGTAGTTGATTGATTTTTGTTGATAATTATTTTTGGAAATCGAATAAATCTTTATTAAGATTTTCGATATGGAATGCTAAAATTCTGTTAATTTTAGAAACATTTGTGAGCTATGGTCTAAATTCATGTTTTATTCTTGTGAAAGATGCAAGCAAACAGAATTATGTGGGTTCTGCATTGTATGTTGTGGGTTAAATGGTGTTCATGTTTTCTGTTGTTGCCGGGTTCCGGAGGTGTTTAGGCAGTGATTTTGGATGGTTTGGATTAAATGCTGTTGGTTGTTTTTTATTGAGATATTGGGAAATGTCTGAAAGAATTGATGGTTTTTTATTTCAGAGCTTCTGCGGGAAAATAAGAGGATGCTGGACAAATCTATCAGAGAGATAGAGAGGGAGAGGCAAGGTCTACAGGCCCAAGAGAAGAAACTGATTGCAGAGATGAAGAAAAGTGCAAAGCAAGGCCAGATGGTGTGTTATATTTTTTTGTCATTTGGTGTGATTCAGTGCTTGATTACTCTGTTTTTATGTGTGTGCGGCATGTTTGCAAGGATTAGTTTGACTTATTTGTGATCTTACACTAGCACTTTCAAGATAGACATCATGCAATTTCTATAAAAATTTTGATGTGCTTTTTTTCTTCTTCCCCATTTTAAACAAAATGCATCAATTATACACGTCATAGTTTGCACTTTTGGCATTTTGGCTGCTTGAGTTATGTGTATGTCTATGTTGTTTCATATTAGTGGAGTGATGCAATCATTTCTTTTCTCATTGTGCTTCAAGATTGTATTTTACATCTCTCCTCTTGTGGAACTAGGTTTCCTATTACTACTGCACTTGGGCTTCCTTTCTCACCCGCTCTACATCCTCAAAATATTTTGATTGATGGAATCTTATTTCAGGGAGCTGTAAAGGTTATGGCAAAAGACCTTATCCGAACACGACATCAGATTGAAAAGTTTTATAAGCTTAAATCGCAGCTGCAGGGTGTATCTCTTAGAATTCAAGTATGTATTTTTATCTATCCATTTTATCTCTGTGTCAATGACTTGAACTGTGATGCTTGGTAAGTAGGTGGAAGTCAGCAGATATAACTATTTAGGGGGCTAGTGTAGGAAGGCTTGAAATATGGCCTGCTCCATGCATAGGAATAACTATGACTTTATTTTGTTTGCCAAAATTTAAAAAAAAAAAAAGAAGATAAGTTGGAAGATCATCTAGCTCTATTCTCATCTGAAAATGTTATTAAGAGTTGGAAGATAAATACTTAAAATTGAGCAGTCACCAAGTGTGATAAGGAGAAATAATTTATCTGCTGGTTGTCTGTGGCAGAGGATAAACAAATCGTATGAGCTAGCTGAATTCTAAGCCCTAGGCTACATGAAGTACATTTCAAGAATTGAAGCCTTATAAATTTTACAAGTTAATTGCAACTTTTGATGTTATGGCCAACGTATTGTAAAGTTTAAATCATGACTAATTTTCTGAATGACTTTCAGACATTGAAATCAACACAAGCAATGGGCGAGGCAATGAAAGGTGTGACAAAGGCAATGGGCAAGATGAACAGGCAGATGAACTTGCCATCCTTGCAGAAAATTATGCAAGAATTTGAGAGACAAAATGAGAAGATGGAGATGGTGACTGAGGTGATGGGTGATGCAATTGATGATGCTTTGGAGGGGGATGAGGAAGAGGAGGAAACTGAAGAACTTGTGAACCAGGTTCTTGACGAGATTGGAATTGACATCAATCAAGAGGTACTATTGTCACCATTTCTTTTCAACATAGGCACATAGCTTGAATAAGCTGCATTTTTTGCCCAAAGTAAGTTGTTAAGATGTGCTAACTCCAGTTACTTTGATCTGATTCACAGCTTGTAAATGCACCATCAGCTTCTGTTGCGGCACCAGCTGCAAAGAGTAAGGTTGCACAGGCAGAAGCTACTGGGAATGATGACAGTGGGATAGATATTGACTTACAGGCAAGGTTAGACAATTTGAGAAGGATGTAGTAGTTATGCCTAATTACTTCGGTATAATGTAGACATCACCTCTATGTTGGAACGTGAAAGTGCATTTGGATTGTAAGATTTGGGATAACTGTGCTGGAGTTTATTAATTCAGGATCTGAAATACGTGGAAATTACGATAAATTACTTTTTGTAAATTTATACATGCTTGGTGAATTCACCACTATGTTTCGATGACAAACCAGAGAATGATCCACAGATGCACAACAAAGCGGGCAACTACAATGAGAATACAGCCACGTATTTATACCGGGGCATGACAAGAATGCTTGCACCTTGGTAAGCAAACTGCAAATTCATATTCTCCACTGGGGTCTTGAGGTCCCATGTTGCTGCTTTCCTTACTCTACCTGAAACTTTGAAGCAAGTTCCTGCTTTGGTTTTCAAAACTCTGGCTGGCCGTGATTTCTGCAAGCCTGCTACGTCTCTGCCTGGACTGCTCAGGCGCTGCGTGCACCACCAGATATGATTTATAAGGTTGTAGTATATAGTTAGCACGATAGCAGCTGTTCCCACGAGCAGTTCGTAATAAAGCATAGTTTGATTTGACCTTGGAGAAAGGGTAAGGGAAGAAGGGCCGGGAGTGTCTCCCATGTTGGAAAAAAAAAAAAAAAAGGGTTTTTCAGATATGTCTAAGGATTTACGTAAGAGTTGAAGATTATATGTAGTTGGCATATAAAAAAAAACTTGTAGTTAATCTAAAAGCCAAGCCTTGGTTGGTATGCAGTCCTGAAGAAAATGTTGCATAAAATCTTTGGCCAAAAAGAATGATTGATTGGGGGAGGGGATTATGCCTCGAACTTGAGCAACCTTTCAAGTGCGGAATCAATATGCCGTTGAGCCAAATGCTCATGCTCTTTATCTTTCTCATTTCTTGGCCTATGCTCAATTGGAAAAATAGTTTGGTGTAGGAATTCTATGGATGATCCAACCATGCATGAGTTAAGAGATCAATGATCAGTTCTCCCATAAGTATATAATAGTCGAGTTCTCAAGTCCTAAAAGGAAGATGGCCCAGCCATTTGATTTCATTTGAGAGGGTGGGTCGATCCTCATTGTATTTGTATGTATAAAAAAAGAGGATTATATACAAAAGTGCCATTAACTTATGTCGTGTTTCTGCCTGTATTAAACTCCATCACCACCTTTCTGTTTTCGCCTATTTATTTTTGAACCAAGCATTTAACTACTTATATTTGTTTCTGGTTTTGGGAACTATGATATTGAAACAATATTCCAGTAGGCCCTAGCAGGGGCGCTGCGTGGTGTATAAACCAGGGTAAGGGAAAGAGAGAAGTGAGTTGTAAATTTTTTCGTAATTCAACATTGTAGGAATTTTCTCCGATATAAGACGCTGGATATCTAATGAATTGTGTCTCAGAATTTATTTATTAAAAATTGCATCTGAATAATTATGTTTGTACAAATAAATACTTATTTGGATAATTATATTTATAGAAATAAATATACATTTAGATAATTATGTCTATACAAAAATATATTAATTTAGATTGTCATGTTTATACAATGAGACATCTAATTAATTATTAATATATATTTTTTTATTTTTGTCATAATGGATTGATTTTATTAGAGCAAAATACAATCAAATCACTAAATTTTATTATATCTTTTAGATTTATACGTCATAATCTTTTTTATATCAAGTGTTTTAAGATCTAAAATAAATCAAAAGTAGGTCAGGAGTAATCTATTACCCTTTCTTTTCCCTCAAGTTTTCCTAAAATAAAAACCGCTCCCACTACTATTCCAACTAAGGTTATTCTTTTTCTTCTTTTCTTTTCTCAATGGCAGTCTGTAATGTTTGCTCAGATGTTTTATTCGAAATCTTATCGAGAGTGGAGTTGAAGACCCTGAGGAAGTGTAGACTTCTCTCAAGGGAATGCAACAGTCTCACCTATGAATCGAGTTTCATTCGGCTTCACTGTCAGAGAACGAAGACAATAGCCGGATATTTTATTCAAAGCTTGAGAAGCAATTGGTACCATTCAACATTTTTGTCCATAGATAATCCAGGTCTTGATCCCATGTTAAGCCTTGATTTTCTACCTGGTCGACGCCCTGTGAAGATCCTGGCTACTGCTGACCAAGGTCTGATGTTTTGCGTAAGCCAATTTCCAGAAAACCACTATTATATTTGTAAGCCTAGTACCAAGCAATGGGAAACTATACCAAGTCCAAATCCTGGATATTTCACTAGAAAGATTGCCATGGTGGAGCTTCGGTCAGACCCTTTGCTGTTCAAAATAGTGCGACTTTCAGATGGTGAGAACAGGGATTCGGAATCGGAGACTGAACTCGATTACGATTACAAACACTTCCAATGTGAGATTTTTAATTCAAATACTTGGGCTTGGAAGCGACTAAATGACTTAATGTTGTCCTATGACGAGTATTTCAACACCAAGCCTGCCATATCTGCATATGGTGGCCTGCATTGGCTTACTTCCAACAAAGACAAAAATAACATACTATCTTTTCATGAAAATAAAGAGAGTTGGGAGTTGGTTCCACTGCCGGACTCACTCTGCCAAATAGATTACAAGTATTCTGTCAACCTTGCACAATACGAAGGGAAGTTGGCACTAATATGTGTCAGATGCGATTCTGATTTGTTGGAGTTATGGATCATCAAAGACTTTTACGGTAAAAAGCTTTGGACAAAACGATTCACAGTAAATTTGCAAGCCTTTAAAGAAGAAATTGGTCATTCCTCAGCTTATTCTTTCTATAATAAAGATACTTTACTTATGACCGAAGCATTCGGCACAATATTTTATAATTTCAAGAATGGTCAATATGATCGACTCAAACTTGGATCGAAACACATGAATATCGAATCAGCTTTTTTTGTTCAAACAAATTATGAGCCAATTCAGCTGAGACGTCCAAAAAAAGACTTCTTATTCAGCATTGTTCCAGCCCCTATCTTCTTAGTATTTTGGTTTTTTGTTCTTATTTTAATTTGTTTTATTATGGTTGTATAAACTTAGATTATTTTACATTGTAATACTTTTTATTTGCATTTATGTTATAATTAATTAGATTTTTCTTTCTTACAACTGTTGCATGTCTTGTTTATTTATTTATTTATTTGTTAGCTTGAAAATTATGATCGACTGTAGGAATATTTTTCTATTGATTCTGTTAAATTGCTTGATTTACAACCCTTTGATCTATTGCTAAATTCATCAACCTTCTCGATGATGATCTCGTTTCTACTTGCTAAAAGTCTTTTTCCTCTACTGCAAGAATGATGTGATTAAAAAATGCCAGCCCACACAAGGAAGGACAGCGAGTGAATAGGGGAAATTTGTTTGATATGATTCTTCTAGCCGTTGAAGTATTAATGCTTGTTTCCTTTTAGAGAAAACGGCCCAAAGGCCCATAGAATGGGCTCAAAATAAGGCCCAATAGCTAAGAACCACAAAAGTAGAAGAAATCAGACTTTCTGAGTCACCTAACCATGAAAATTCTCTCCCAAAACCAATTAGATAACCTTATCCATCAATTCCAACTTGAGAAGCTGCCACGTAGGACAGAATAGAGATGACTAGGCCACCTGATATCTCAAATTTTCACCTCTCATTATTCCCTCCCTCGACTCCCCTTCTCTCAAAAACACATTGCATGCAGCACCCACTATCTTTATTTCATAGTAAAAATTCACAAAAGAGAAGGTATTGGTTTTTAGACCCTAGATTGAAGAGAGAAAGAAAAACCAATGGCTTCCACTTCGGCTGTTTCAATGGCTCTGCCATTAACTCATGCCAGCCAAAAGAGGATGCCGAGCTCTGAGGCATTCTTTAAGCCACTGCCAGTCAAGCCATCATGGGCAGTTGCAACTACAAGACCTAATGGAAGGCTTGAAGTCAAGGCTTCATCTTCACTCAAGGAGAAGGCAGTCACTGGATTGACAGCAGCTGCACTGACAACATCCATGGTAATCCCTGAGGTGGCTCAAGCTGCTGATGGCGTTACCCCATCTCTCAAGAACTTCTTGCTTAGCATTGTGGCCGGTGGTGTTGTTCTTGCTGCCTTAGCTGGGGCCGTGATTGGTGTGGCCAACTTCGACCCTGTCAAGCGAAGCTGAGCCGTTTATTTCTGAGTCACTGTTAATTTTCATTTTATTTTATTTTTTTAAAACTTTTTATGTATCTTTTTGATGTTTCCAGTAATAAACTCTCTATTCTGTGTTGGCTGAGACCTTGTGAATTCTCAAAGTTTTATTTTATTTAAGCAACATCAGAGCAATTAAATCCATCCTGTTCTTCTCAGTTCTTGTTAGGCAGTAAATACTTGCATTTCCAGTTATCCCTTCAGAAACTTAACAAACCTAAGGACGAATTGCTGTTGCACAAACTCTTGTAGATCCATCATGAATACGATTGATCTAAATAAAAGAGTAATCAACCACCATGTAGGCATAGCAAATGCAGGCAATTTTAGTTTCTTGGAAGTTTTCATCACCATTCATGAGTAGTATCGAAGCTATTAAGGTGGAGCCCCGTTTGAAACCTATGTGGAAAGATTTTGAAAGCCATGGTAGGAGAAGGGAGCCAATGATAAAAATCAGAAATAGCAAACTTCTTTCTCTAATCTCCTCTCCTCTCTATTGGCAAAAGGAGTGAGAGTTTCAAACAAAGGTTATTGACTTTGAAGATTGCTGCTGCCTCGACACAAAAATATACCAAATTACTACCAGAGACCAAAAGGATATTATAAATTTTTAAAAATAAAAATTCCTCAAAGAAAATTACTACTAACTTTAGTATAACAAAAATTGAGAAACATCAAAGAATCCAGAAGAGGCATTTAGGGGTAAATTTTTGCTACAAAAGGAAAATTAAAGACACTCACATGCTCCAAAAATCAAAACGATAACTATCAGAACAGTAATCGTCGAACGTTAAGCCACCACTGGCATCTCGATATCAATTGGCTCAGGTGCAACGTTCCTGGTACCTTCATCCTCCTTAGGAGGGTGGATTGTGACAAGATCAGGTAGTGGAGTTGTAGGTCCCTGCTTACCCTTGGGATCCCAATCAAGCATGATCTTGACCTTAATACCAAGTACCCCCTATATTAACCAATAAATTGGTCAGAAATGAAAATCAAAAGGGACATGGTAGAGTGAGTAAATGGATAGCAAACCTGTCTCAAAAGAACATGTCTGACAGCAGAGTCGATATATTCATTGACTGGATGGCCAGAAGAAATCATATATCCATCTTTGAATTTCATAGATTTGGCACGCTGTGCCCTTAGCTTTCCACTAACAATAACCTATTGCACAAGCAAGTCGAAATGAAAGTCTAAATAAAAAATCAAAATGAAGAATACCAAATCATATGAACTCCAAAACCAACTAGTTTACAAACCTCGCATCCCTTGGCACCACTCTCCATGATGAATCTCAGCACACCATAGCAAGCCCTGTAAAAACAATCCCAACTATCAGCTTGACAGGACAAACAAGAATTTACCAACTTTTACCATTAATAACATCAACAAGTTCACAAACTCATAATTGAATCTAAGACATACAAACATGCACATGCAGAGATCAAATAATTGCACCAAAAGATGAACAATGAAATTGACAAGATGAAAATATGTCCATCCAAATGTTACTGAGCGAAAACCGGTGAATTTCGAACGGGATGATGGAAATGGAGGATTGGATTAATCCTGTCATCTTCCGACACAAAATTGGTAAAGCTATTTGCCTTATAGATGACAAAACATAATTAAAAAAAAAATTGTCCAGAAACAGCTGACTAAATACAAAAAAGGAAGAATGCAATCATTCATTTTGAAAGTACATCAATACCAAGTCATCACTTAACATCCGTAAATACATCAAATATGCAAACAAAATTAATTGCATGTGCCAATGAGAAATTATGAATAAGAAAATTTTGACATGTTCCCTCTCCTAAGGTTACTGCATAAAAATTTCAGCAGGATAATGGAACAGAGGAAATATATTATCTACTTACTGTTGTCACCTTCCGACACAAAAATTGGTATTGAAGTAACAATCTGCTTTGTAGATGACGTTACATAACAAATCAATAACAAACCCTGATTATTTAAATTCATTACATGTATTACGCATGAAATTTGTACATTAACATAAACAATGAATTTAGCTTTAACAGGCTTTAAATCTGTAAAAGCGAATCGAATTTGAGTATGTACCTGCGGACGGCAAGGCCTCCGAGGAGCTTGTACCGAAGAGACTCGGCCTGAGCAATTGCGCAAAGGCCTCTGTTATTGACTTTCTCAGCGTAAAGCTCAACGCTGTTTTCTGGGAACTTGAATCGCTTCTGAACCACTGAGGTCAGCTCTCTGATCCTCCTCCCTTTCTCACCTATAATCCCCTAATTGATCATAAACTAAAACCAACAATGAAAAGTAGACTCAGCCTAGAAACCAGATTTTTAGAGAGATACCGAGAACGTTTTGGGTGCGGGTGGCTCGGATGATGATCTCGGTGCGCATAGGAGTAACTCTTACTTCGACGCCAGAGTATCCATCCTCAGCCAGCTCCCTGGTCAAGACCTCGTTGAGTTCCGCGAAGAAGACACCGTCAGCAACGAACTGAAAGCAAGGGAAAATAAACAAAAAACAGTTGGAGAAATGATGAAACAAATGGAGGAAATGAGAAGGGGAGATGGTAAACAATACCTTTCGCTTCTTGCTGATTTGAGCTGCCGCCATGTTTTTTGGGTTTGGGTGGAGGCCCGGGAAAGGAAGGGAATATGCGGAGAGATGAGAGCTGAAGACGGCCGAAACTCCGCAAACCCTAGCCTCTAACAGAAATACAGCGATTCCCGACTCTGGGGGTTTTAAGGGTCTTGTACGACTGCAATCGGCTTCCTTTAAGGGTTGGGTTTTGGGCTAAAAACACACAAAAAAATGGATCGTTTCATAATTCAGCCCAAAATTACCTTTTTAGGCCCAATTACTCTTGGACAGACCTAGATTTGGAAGCCCTTAGAGACCCATGACCCTTTTTTTTTTTTTTACCTAAAGAGTTAAATGAAATTTTTTAGACATATTTTTTTCTTTTTTTTATTTATTCTTATTTATTTCATATTTAAATATTTCTTTTGAAGATTTATAATTTAAAATAATTTTTATAAAAATATCAAATTATATTTTTAAAAATTAAAAAAAATGAATATATGTTAAGACATGTTAAATTTAAATTATATGAACAATTTTTGAAAATCTCTTTAAGAAAATTTAATCCCACAATAACAAACCGCTAATCAACTAGTATTTATGAATCTCTTGCAGACATATAGTTAGCCTTTTTAATGTGTCATTTGAACTTTGGAATTTTGAGCTAAAATAATATATTCATAAAACCTTTGATTAACCACCATATTAAATTCGGACTTTTTTTTTTTTAATGAATAAGTTTTGTTTGGTTGGATGGAAAATGAGACGACAAAAGAGGTGAGTAGAGAAGTGGAAATAAAATAATTTTTATTATTATTAAGAGAAAAATTAAAGGAAGAAAAATGTGACAGATGGTTATTGATGAAATTTGTCATCTCAACGTCACATAAATATCCACATCTACCACGTGGATGTTCACGTGACAAAAAGAAGCGGACTCGTTACATTTTTTTTATTGAAATTTATGTCATGGGGACTATATATGGCATTGACATGCTACTTATCGTAAAATTTTAAATGGTGGTCGATGAAATTTATAAATTTGAAATAATTTTAATTTTAAAAATCACGAATGAAAAAAAAAATTTGCATAAAGATCATCGATATTTGTGCATTTTACTCCTTTGCCCGGTGAATTGTTTGACCTTTTATTTTTTAGAAAGTAAAGATAACGAGGGTATATCAATATATAGAAAAGAAAATAAGTTGATCTATCTCATACTTCAAATCTCTCTTCATGGTCAAATTATTAGTAAAATCAACGGATTTGAGTAATTATCATTTTAAATGAAAAAATTTCATTGTTTGTTAAAAGTCTCAATAGCAAATCAAAGTATAATCTCAGATATATATTAAAACTAGAAGGGAATTGACATCAGCAATGAGACAACCGTAAATCCTATCCTTTTGAAACACACAATCATGGAGAAAAGAGAAAGCCTTTTCTTAGAGCTAGCCACTGAAAGTTTCAGTTAAACATCCATTTTTCTTTAAGATTGGTCAATCAGAGTTGCAAGTGTAACAAATACATGTAAAATTTATAAAACCGGCTGTTTTTTTGGGTTAGCTAAATTTGATTATTCATATATTTTTATCGTGTAAAATATTAAAATTCGTATATTCATGTCATATTTTATATAAAAATTATAAATTATAATTTGTATTGACATAAAAATATAAAATATTTTTTTATTTTATTAAATTTAAATATAATTATTGTTAAAATTTTAAATTATATCATATTCATGTTTTATATTCGTATTCATATATTATCATCGTATCGAATTACCAGTATCACCTAACACAAAAGTTTTATATTTTTTAATAAGTTGAAGAAAACCCATTTTCTGCAATTGGCATTTGCTGAAAATTATAAATATATGTAATTGGCTTGTATAATTGAATGACTGTAATCCGGTCCAACTAATGATGTTGATAACCCCAATTCAAGATCCTTGTTTATTTTAGGACAAGAGTGGGAAAGTAGACTTGGGTTCCTTTCCAAGTTCCAACTTATTTGCTGGAAATATTGTAAGGTAGGCTCTATTCCGTTTGAGAAAATATTTTTTGTTTTTATTTTGTATTTTTATATTTCAAAAAATAATTTTTATTTTTTGTTTTTTTTTAAATGTATTTAGTAAATGTAAAAATAAAAATTATTTTTAGTTAGAAGATAAAACCTTAAACTTAAGTCAACGACGCCACATTCAAGAACTTATGTTTATTGTCACATGTGATGCGTGTAAATATATATATATATATATATACTTTAAAATTTTAAAATAAATAAAAAATATTGCGTTTGAACATTAAATTCAATTATTAATGCTTAATTGCTTAAATCTCGTTGCTCAACAAAAAAGAAGTTATAATCTTCCTTTAAAAAAACTAATCGGGTTGTCACATTTTACTTCTACAAGGAAATTTCTTTATAATTTTCTTTTCCTTATTAATCATCAATAAGAAAAAAAAAAAAAAAAAACAAAAAACAGAATCTTTGTGTACGTAGTGACATTTAAAATCACATTCATTCTTTACATAATATGCAAACGTTATTCACTTTTCATTTTCATTAGAGAAACCTCCACAAATGTCTTGCATTATTGATGATAACAATCTTTAACATGTACTTTTATGTCATATCTGAGAGAGACATTTTTCCAAAATATATATTCATGCCATAATTAATTGTCATAATCAAACATATGCTCCTAAGGATAGATTCTTTTTTATATATGTTTTGTTGGTGATCATACATTTTTTTGTTAAACTTTCATAAATTATATTAATTAGAATCCAGATTTTTCGCCTTCTTACAAATGCAATAGGCCAGTTGCTTTAATATCACAATGGAAATTCTATTTTTTTTTTATCGTGTTGAAGTACCGTTTTTGACATCAGAACAAATCAGTTTTGAAGGAATGAAAAATCAGTAAACCAAGTAAACATGAGCTTAAAGGACAGAAAGATAATGGAAGAAACAATAATATTAATAATAATAATAATAGATCTAAGTGACTTTGTTGTGTGTATGATTGGAGAATGGAGTAAATGATACATGGGTGATAGATGAAGTGATTCCCTCACCACCAATGTGAAAAATCTAAACGAGAGACAAGCCATTCCCGGCAATCAATCATGTGGGTCCATCAACAAAGACACCTGCTCAATTAGAGAAAGAGAGCTGCTGCTGGGGGAATCATCGGAGTCGAAAGGAAGTCATAAAAGACATTTATTATTAAAAGAGAATAAAAAGGAAAAAGAATCTAGGGAAAAAGTAAAAGAGAAGGAACCTAAGTAGGAGGAGATGAGGATAAGCATAGAGAAGTTCAGTTTCATCCCAAAAGAACCTTGGGTCCCTTGTCATGTTGTTGGGTCACTGTTTACACATATCTGTCCGTCTCTTGCAACTCTAGTGCTTTGTTTTTTAAACTACCCCTTTTTAAAATACTTTATTTTCCTTTGCCCAATACCATCCAAGAAACTGCCATTGGTTATAACAAATTTCTATTTTTTTAAAGTCAAAAGCTCATCATCTCTTATCTGAGATTCTGTTCCTGTGGTGGTGTGTGATTGGGAACCAAAAGGACTATCTAAAGCTGCTTTCCTTCAATTTCTTTTCAGAGCATCTTCACAGAGATGTATGCAACTGTTTTCATTCTCCATATGAACAGTGATTTCTCCGCAAAGAGATAAAAAGAAGGTTTGGTTATCATGAGAGAGGTCTTCAGATCTCAGATCTCTTCAGCTTTTGCTTCTCAGCTAAGGTCTAGAAGAAATATACGCTTTGGATTGAGGCTGGAAAGGTGAATAAAGGGTATAATGGAGAGTTTTGTTTCCATCCAAAAGTAGAAAATGATCTTTCATGGTAAAGAATTTGAGGGAAAATATTTGTAAATACCCATTATAACTATCAGCCATTTCAACAAAGAGAAAAAGCTGGGACAAACTAAAAGCTCTTAGACCTCTTTTGTTTATCAGTGGAAATCTAAGAAGTCCAAATTGCATGACAAAGAAAGATCACATCCTTGGAAGAACAACTAAAATTTGACATTTACAACATGGTAAAGGAAAAATGAGAAAGAAAGAGAAGGTTTAATTTTAAAAGTACTAACCTTTATGAACACTACCTACATGCTTCATTTCAATTAGATCCTGGGTTACAGTACTGATTTATAAATGCAATAGAAGAAATTTATTTTCTCTAGCCAATGTGAGCAGTAAGTTTGGGAAGTAAAGACAGTTTCATCACTGATACGAGGGGGACTTACATAATCTGACCATTTTCTACTACCTCATCATCAACAAAGCTGTGAAAGTTTCTTCATTTGCCACCATGCAAAAGAATTACTGATAAAAAAAACCCAAACTTATTTTCTCTCTAATTAAAATCAAGCAGGCCTGTTTCTTTTGTGACCAGCTTTGCCATCTGATTTCATAGCACCACTGGAATCCCCCTCAGACGAGGCATCCATGGATTTGGTGAAGGAACTTGAAAGATCAGCATAAAGGTCAACCACTCTTCTTATGTTGTTGTTGAGCTCCCTAATTAGACCAACATTTCTGCTCAAGTTGTCAGGGATCTTGGACTCATGATTCTGGTTTATCTCATTGATGAGCAACCTATTCTGGTCCAAGATATTCTGAACCTGAACAAAGCTCTTCTGAAACGTCTGCACCACCTTGCTATCTATCTGAGTACCATTGCCAATCCCTGAGAATGTGTCACCCTCCATTTTTTCCCTCACTTTCTGAGTCACAGTTCTATCAAATTAAAACCAGTCCTGAATCAAAAAATACAGATAAGAACATCACTATATTATTGTCCAAAGTTTTCAAACCAAACTTGAGTCCTATATAAAGCAAAACCCCATACAAAATATGAAGAAGGCATTTTGGGCATAAGAAACAAAGGCCTGCAGTAGAAATCATGAACTCCATGGGTTCTACTTTCATTGAAGGTCGGTGAACAAACAAACATGAAAATAATCAGTACTTCATACATAATTGTTTTTTTTATTGTTTTTATTATTGTTGCTACTATTGCTATCATTTATGATGAGATGTGAAAAAAGCAGATCCCATTTCCGTAAAAAGGAGCCTTTTTTAATGTGCTCAGAAAAAACCCACCTAGAGCACAGTCTTCATAGAAGAATCTCAAAGACCCAAAAAAAAAAAAAAAACTAGTAATGATCAAAGAAGTACCATACTGACAACATTGTTAATCTTTTTACAACAAAAATAAAAATCAGAAACTCAATAGAAAACAAAAACAACAAAAATGTACATAGCTTTTATAAAATTAAATTAAACACAAAGAAAAAAAATTGCTTCAAATTCAGAAAATAACGGAAAACAAAGGCCCTGAATTGGGAATTCAAAAACCAAAAAGAAAAAAGTAATTTGAAAAAAAGCTGTAGTTACATAACCATAAAACCCATTTGTCAAAAGAAGATCTTTTCTGAAAAAAACAAAACCTTCATAAACTCCCCAAAATTCCCAGATTAAAAAAAAAAAAAACCAAGAGAGTGTTAAAACAAAAAACCAGAAGCTGATAAGATCGAGGTATTGTAAGAAAGGAAAAAAAAACCTCATTCATTTAACTATCACGAGAGAAACAAAGACAAAGAAAGAGATAACATGGTTTTTCATTTTATAATTATATATTATATAATATCTATTTATATACGTACCTTGAAAATCTGGATAATTATATTCTGGGAGGAAGAGACAGATTGAAAGAAGGAAGACGAGGGATTCCCGAGGAACAGTAAGAAAGATCGCCGATTAAATCGAATCTCAGAAACCAAGAAAAAATGGTTTCTGAATCATGAGAGAGAGATTTTAGAGAAAAAGAAAGAAGAGATTGAGAGAGAATTTGTAGATTTGACAGTCACATTCGGACCCCTTTGTGTCTAAATATTTTAGTTCTATCTATTCTCTAATTATATATATCCACCTGTTTTTTTTTTTTACTTTTTTTTTTTTTTTGGGATTCAGAGGGGATGGGATTGGTTTCTGTGTGTTTTGCTCAGATCCGGGGGCATGACTAGTGATTCGAGCTGATGTTCGTAATTAACCACGTGGCATTTGAATACGATATACTAAATTTATTATTTGCATATTTATATTATATTTATTTTATATTAAATATTTTATATTACATTATAATTTATATTGATATATTAAATAAAACAGTTCAAAAAAATCAAATACAAAATAAATTTTTTAATTTTTACTGAATTTAAATATAAATTTTATTATTTATATTATTTATTATTTTGTATATATTTAAAATTAATTGGTGCAATGATACTTTTATCATCTACCATGAAAGATTTTGATTTAAAAATTTTAAATATAATAAGATAATATGATATAGAAATGATATAAATAAAAAATATTAAAATAATATAATTTAAAATTTTGATAAAAATTATAAATAAATTTAATAAAATTAACAATATATATTTTATATTTTTATATCAACAAAAATTATAATATATAATTTTTATATAAATTATGACATAAATATATAAATTTTTAATATTTATATAATAATAAAATAAAAAATTTCAAACCTAATCCCACGATCTAATTTATCTTAAATAAGTTTATTATTATTATTTTTTCAACAAGAAAAGATACTTTTTTATATCAACAAAAATTATAATACATAATTTTTATATAAATTATGACATAAATATATAAAATTTTAATATTTATATAATACTAAAATAAAAAATTTTAAACCTAATGCCATGATCTAAGTTATCTTAAATAAGTGTATTATTATTATTATTTTTTTTTCAACAAGAATGATACTTCGAATCAATCAGTAAATTACAACCAATACAACTAAAGAAATGTAAAGAAACAATATCCGGCTGAGCTAAGGAAATCTATGTTAGAAACTTCATCCAGCTGGTAGAACACCAATAAACCAATGTTACAAATCTCTACTCGAAACAAACAAGAGGATGACGGCTGTCTTAGCCAACGATTTAGGCACATCCCCTCTTTGAATTGTTTACCAGCCAGTCAGCAGCCAAATTAGTAATTCTACGAATCAGTCTAACCTTTTTTTTTTTTATCAATATTTTCTAACATCATCCCAATGTCACATAGAATAGGTCTCGATTTACTATGTGGAGTCATCCTTTGGCACTGTCTGAATAAAACCTCTGAATCAGTTTCAAAAACGACTTTACTGTTCTTTTTTATTCATATTTGTATGTTTTGGTAAATGGAAATCTCCGAATTAAAAATTAGTAATATAAAATAGAGTTTGATGGTGACCACTTTGTGGGATTATTAGTATTTGTGAAGAGACATTTTGAATGTCATTTTCAGCCTTTTTTTTTTTTTTAATTGGAAATATGGGATTGGTTTTTGGAAAGATAACCACTATGTTATTGTCAAGGTGTAATCAAAGTTTAAAGTTGTAATTATCAAGGTGTCTTGTTGTGAACATTTCTACTTACTAATTAAAAATGTTTGAAACCAAATATAAAATCTTGAAATTCGTTTCTTCAAGGAATGGAACTAACATCAAATTATAAGAAACAAGGAGTATGAGTCTTGTTGTTTGAACGGTATGTCTTGATCTTATTTTGTGGTTATATGTATGATCATATAATTATTTTGGTTTACGTTGACTAAGGATATCTAATTAATTTAGATTTGTGGGGATGTCCGAGCGTTTTTTGCTAACTTTCCTAGGCTTATTTTGAAAAAATAAAATAAAAATAATATGCTAATAAACTTCTCTTCCAAATAATTATATATAGCAAATTAGTAAGGATGATAAATGTTTGGATTAAATAGAATTCGATTCGGTTTAATTTTTTAAATAATACATAATATTATGAATTTTAAAATTTAATTCAAATTTAAATTGATATTCTTTTAAAATAGATCTGATTTGAATCAAATTTTATTAATTTGATTCATCGATTTTTAAAATTTAAAATTTTTTAAAAATTATTTTAATAAGATTTTTAATAAATTTAAATATATTTATATATAATAATTATGTTATTTTATAAAAATTTGAAAAACATATAAAAACTAATAACAAATATATAATTTAGTTCAATTTTTTATTTTTTACATCTCGATATGAAATTTAATTTGAATTTAATACATATATTTAATATCAAAATTTGATTTATATCAAATTAAAAAATAAATTCAAATCAAACCAAATATTATAATTTTATATCAATTTTTAATTTTGTTCTCCCCCTCACAATTCATGTATATTTTTTTTATTAAACATCAATTTATAATTATGTATAGCCACAGGTCCTGCTGCAGATCTTCGTTTTGGTCGAGAATGGGAAGTTCGATACAATTAAAAATCCCCAATAATAAAATCTTGAGTGTTTTTTTTACACAAAACTAATTTAAAATCTTTATTTTTTAATTAGGATAGTTTTAATCTTATTTCCCTTAACATGGTACTTTAAAACATGTAAATGCCATATTACCACTCCATCTTTTTCTCCTTCTTCCTATGTTTCAACACAAATAGAAAAGCTCAACACCATTGTGAATTCATCATTTTCTTTTCTTCCTCACTTTGTTTTTGTAAAGAAAATAAAAATAACCTCATTCAATCAACATTTTCTTCACTGGTTCTATTATTTTGCTTTGTTTGGAAGCTTTGTGTTTCGCATTCGCTTAGTATTTGTCAATACTCATGCAAGTATCAATTTTCTTTTATTTTGGGTGAGTTTTATTTATGGGTAGGAAAACTATGACTAGAAAATTTGTTGGGAGAGGCTCATTGTCGATAACCCCTTAGAAAAATTATGACTAAAAAAATTATTTAAAAGAGGTGTTGCCGCCACTGATATCCGTCTACTACTTAAGTAGGAGGAGATATTGCGATAGTGTTCTAATGAAAGGTTAGTACTCTGATGGGTTTAGTAATACGATTAGTCTCAGAAGATCGGAGAGACATTAGACAGTCATGGGTTTGATTTTAACTATTATGATATGCGGAGGTCATATTCTATTTGCCTCATAAGTTTGATCTAGATAAATAAGAGATTGATTGTGTTCTATTTATCCATTTTTAAGGGTGGCTTTCACCTTTAGTTGCATCCTTTCTTCACTGGGGTTTAAGAAGAGTGGAATGTAGCTCCCTCTCAACTGCTCGCCAATGGATAATGATTCTATGTTTCACAGAATGTCGAAAAGCTTATTATTTAGCTACATAGTTTTCTCTAGCAATAGAGGTGTCCTTAACCAGCTTTCTCAATACAACTGTTCTGAGCGAATCAAAGAGGGACGCGTGTCAGATGAGGCTCGAAAGATCTATAGGTTCGGATCCGAGGCTAACCAGATCCCCGAACCAAAGCCTAAAAATAGTTGTTTTGTTCTGACGGTGGTAGGACCAGGGTAAGGCAAGGTTCCACAGCTCCATCACACCTTGATCGGAGTAGTAAAAAAGAACGAGGGCGAAGGTCGGGTAAAACATAAAAGATGTTTCGTACAAAATAGCAGACACGAAATGCAACGCCGATGTTTTTTTGGCCTCAACCAGATCAGTCCCTGATGGTACGAACACACATTTGCCTTATCTCTTTGTAACTTGTGATTATGTTTTTTAATATGTTTGATTTACCTTGATTTATTAAATTTAATAAATAATTTTAAATAATATTTGGTATTTATTATTTAAATAACGAACTTGTGGGTATAATTAAGTTTGTTTATTTTTCATTTGTTTAATATGAGATATAAATAATAAGCATTTGATGAATAATTTTATAAAATATTTTATTTTTATTTTTTATATTCACTTATTAAATTTAACAAACAATTCGAGTGCAAAAAAATTTATGGCCGAATAGAAACTATAATAAGGGAAATAATTACAAATGAAATGCTATCGTATAAAAAGTTAAGAGAAATTCATATGATTTTTTTATTTAGAAAAAAATCACTAGATGAAGAAGTTTATTTTTGTTCAATTATTATAATAAGTGGGATTTTTTTTTTTTTGAAGTCAAAGTTCAAACGCTATATTTCTGGTATGAATGTATATGTTATAATCACTTAACTATAAAAGAGACAGGCATTTTGGTATACATTTTTATGCTGCAACTTGAATTTATTTGTATAGATCATGGATTTGACATAAATTTTAAATAAATTTTTATATTTTTTATTATATCTAAATAAGTTCTTATCATTTATTTGTATCTAAATTAACTTTTATTTTAAATAAAAAATAGCTTATATAAATATTTATTCAAGTATAAATTAAAAGCCAAATTTTATTTGAATATAAATTAAAAATTTAAGATTTATTTAAATACAAATTAAAATTTAAAAGATTTATCTAAATAAAATAATAAAATTAAAATTTTTTATGTTTTAGTTTTTTTTTTTTTATCACACTAGGATTCAAATTATACCTTTTGGTAATTACCTTTCTCACCGTATAATCTTAAAATATAATTATGATGCTAAATTTAGAAAAACCCTCTTGTAATTCCCAACTAAAATTTAGTATACCTTTTAATAATTATTCCAATTCGGGCAAAAAAAAAATCAAATCTGTCAACCTCAAGCAATTATTTTTTTGTTAATAATTGAGGCAATTAGCTTGTCTTACTGGATAAATACCTGTCGAGTAAGAATTGAATTTGAAGCATTAAAAAAGTCCATTAAGATTATTACAAGTAATTAATTTATTTAAAAAATTATTTCCCGTCAGAATCATCATGGACTCACCATCTTATGAAACTACCAAGAAATTGCAAGCCAATTTAAACAAAAAATTTAATAATTTAAAAAAATCAAGGATATCTTATTCAGAATTTTTTGTTAAGTCAACATATCAAACGTCAGAACCCGACTTATCTTAGGAAACAAGGGCCAGTCCTATTTAATAAAAAGATTGGGACTAATCACAGGATAA